GTGGATGCCATGGATCGTCCAAGGTATCAACAATGGCAACAACAATGGAACACATGGTCGGCTGCACATGTTGGACCAGGACAAGATGTGCATGAACTTCAGCCTGTCCATCATGCGGAGTAGGATGAGCAATCACTCCAGTCAGCTCTGCAAAAGGATCCATCCAGTCGTCCCAAGTCATGACAATCTCATGGTACCAGGTGCCAACGTCTCCAGTAAGACGAACATCTCGACATAGCCCACTGTGAGGTCGTCGAAGATGATCAGCATACCATGTTGAGATGACAAAAGCCTCAGGAGGGTGCTCATGCAACTCTTGCTCATTGCGAAAGAGCAGCGTGTGCAAATCATGAATCATCTGTGGTTGCCCAGGAGGAATAGGAACAGCGCGCGTCCTGATATCAGCAATATGTTGCATTTCGCGCTGAAGACGTTCATGATCTCCATCAACCTTGTCAGCTGGTACAGCACCCTCAGGATATGCCACAGTTGAACCACAGAACTCTGCCGGCTTCTCTGTCAGAGTGATCATGGTCATGGCATGGTAGCTCATGTCCATCGATGCAACTTGTTGCACAGAACACTCGTCTTCGTGTACTTCAGCATGAAGGGAGCGGGCATCATGTAGCACATGTCGAAGTTGGATCAGAGAGTTGGCTGTGGTTGGCATGATTCGTCTTGGAACGAAGGGTTCCGAAGAGCTTGCAGCCTGATGGTCTCCATGACAATGAGGTGGTCTGACATGAAGTTCAATACTAGCTGCATCTGGGACATCATGACGAATAAAACGCTCAAAATGTGCCACGCCAGATCGTGCAGAGCAACGCCGTGTTTCACAAACATGGTTGATGCGCAGGATGTCAATGATATCCTCAGTGCACAGCCAACGAGGGACAGAGTAAGCAGCTTGCAAAAGACGATCTTCATGATCGCCTTGCATGACCGCAGACAACACAACTGCAGCTTTTGCTTCACGTGGCTTCTGTTCAATCATGACATGCACTGTGTCCAAGGTGGTGGTCGCATGTGGAGGTCGATGACCAACAATCTTGATCTGCAAAGGATCCGACCCGTGAAGTAGAGGCTGCCAAGGTGTCAGCAAATCTTGACACCACAGATGCTTGAAGCTGTCCAATTTGACCACACGTGGCACATCACATTGTGGATGTAACTCATGATGCACGTACCACGTCCATACATAGAGGATAGGTCCTTCTTCCAAAAATTCCTGCAGTGCTTCCGCCTCAAAGGTATCATCAAGCGGCTCAAACCAGTGGTTGTCCATGGGCACCGGGAAAACACTGTTCGTGGTGTCCTCGGGCAACGTGGTAGTGGATGTTGAGGTAACTGGTAGCGGAGCAGGAAATGGAGCAGCTGAAGGCCCAGAGATGCGAGGCTGAACTGTGCTGCCCTGACTCTCAGTGACATGGATAGCCTGCAACGTATTCATCTGTGTGTCAGGCGGCGGTACGCATACTCGGAGATAGGCTCCATGTTGCATGACTTGAGGTGCTGCCTGATGAACAGGCCATGCTCGACCGTTGAACTCCACTAGACATGCATCATTTTGCCATGAGCAATACTGCCGCACTCCTGCATAATGGAGTACACCTTCACGTCCAAGATGACGGGGTACGCGATGAACTCTTCTAGTAGCAGCTGGCAAAGGATGAATTCCAGCTGGTGTCACATGAAAATGCACTTCTACGTCAATGATGACAAGTGCATCCGAAGAAGCCGTTGGGATGTCTGTCACCGATTGGATGATGAAAGAAAAGTCATCGCGTTGATCTCCAACCATGGGAGCCAAGATCGTGTGAGCTTGCAAGAGACTGGCCGGGACAATTTCCAAATTTCGAGCAAGCTCTATCAGCATGGGCACTCCAGCCGCGTTACGCATGAACATGTGCAGCAGTGGATGTCGTAGCCGATAAAAATGACAGTTGAACATTGGTCCAGCAGAATGATCATGCTCAATAGATGGGGGAGTTTCAGATGGCGGGTCATCTTCAGGTGGATCCGGATCTCCATCATCAGGTCCTGTCACGAAGAAATCCTCACCATGACCTGTTGGCATACCATGAGCTGAAACGCCAGAGTGCGATACTTCACCAGCATGAGCAGATGCACTTGCCAGATTTGGATCATTGGGAATTTGAATTGTAAAGGAATGCCCAGGCCGCATCCGATGGTTGTCATCTCCTCCGTTTGGCAGCAAACGCCATCCATGAAGAATGTGACAAACTCGGCCATAGGGTCCTTGACAAGTCTGCAGAACTTGGGCCGCATCCAAAATGTGGTATCTATTCACCAAAGGCGGAAACGAGGCTGCCACGAGGTTCGCACCAAGCCCATCATAGTCATCCATGTACTGGACTGCCACCAGACCAGAAAATCTGGGTTGATGAAGGCCTTGCGCCAAAATCACGTCCAGGGCGATGAGTTGATCTGCAGGACCTCTCGTTGGCATGGGATTTGGAAGTGTGAAAGCTGTTGGGACAGAGTCATCCAGCAAGTCACTCCAAGCATTCATCATATTCTCAACCCAATGTGCTCGTTCAGGAGGAAGATGAACGACACGATACTGCGCGTTGCGCAGTCTTGTCTCGTGATGTAGGTACCATGTACGTACACGTAGCCCATCAGACATCAGAGCTGTTGGACTCATCCAAATGGGGTCCAGCGCTGAGATCATGTTGTCAGTAAAATCACGTGCACGTGCAGGATTTTCATGACCATGTGCATGAGGTCCATGTGGAGGGTCAGCATGGTCTGCGGGGATTTGTTGAAGATGCTGAAAACCTTCCATAATACTATACGTCGTCATTGGAACAGAGCGATCACAACTGGCATCACCAGGAGCTTTGATCCAAGGCAAAATAGGCCATGCAAAGGGAACATGCGGCCTTCGTGCCTGAAGCTTCAATACTTCAGGCGTCAATTCAGTGCAATCATCCACAAGCGCCCATGGCTTACCAGGCCATTCATACAACGCTCGATGGGGAACAACGAGTCTGTGCATCTCGTGACCACTGAAAACCTCCACAGCATCATCAAAGCGAACATGAAAGGGTCGTGCTCGATGTGAAATGCTTGAAGTCAATGAAGTATTCACCTTTCTCACATGCGGCATGGGGCATTGCAACTTGAAAGCAAGTGCGTGAGCCGATTCAATGGCCTTCCATTCTGACATGAAGCATCCCTCATTCATGATAGAGTGGTTCCATTTCTGAACAACGTAGTCAAGATCGGTCGCAACATCGACCGTCTGAAACTGCCCTGGGTGGTTGTACGCATTTGTCACTGACCACCGGGCCCACCAAAAGACGGCAGGGTAGACGTAGCCCCATCTGCCATGCCTGAGTCGACCTTGTCTGCATCTACTCGTTGTCTTTTGGCACGTTGTTCTTCTTGCACCAATTCCTCTGTCTGAGTTTGCAACTGAGACATTGTCTCGACCAAGCTGTTCAGGCCCGTTGCAATGCGTTGAGCAGCTGCCATAGGAACATCCTTCAGCTCCTCTTCGTCGGAGACCACAACTGTGCCTGCCTTCTCGTCGACCGGCACCATGTTTGCCGCCTCGAGCTTGCTGGCGTTCATGATGTCCCGCGCCACCACAAATGCCTCCTTGGCTTGCTGAATCTTCTCTGTCAGCTGAGCCTCTTGCGTTTGGAAGCTGGCTGTGTGTCCTTGCCAAAGCTTGAGGCTCTCGGCAAGAAAGGATCTCCACTGGGAATGCAGTTGAGCGCGGGCTTGAACTGCCTTGTCGTAATCTTGTCGAGCATTGTCCATGGCATTCACCGCTTGGTGCATAGTCTTCTTGTCGTGCTTGGCAACTTTGGCAATGGCATCCTTCAGATCGGTTTGAATATCGTCTGGAAGTTCGCCTCCTTGATCTTGATGTTTCTGCAACTTCTGCACGAGGGCTCGATACTTCACAATCTCCTCGGGCGGTGGTGTCAATGCCGGCCCAGACGAAGTGGTCGTCGTGGGCTGAGCGAGATTGGGAGCCACTGGCGCAGGCATAGAACCCGACCCAGGAGGTGGTGTGATGGGTGGCGGAAGAGGAGGCTGCTGAGGAAATGGCTGAGCCATCTGCATCGTTGCCTGCTGAGCAGCCTTTTTTCCCTTCCGGGACTTCTTTCGTCCTTGTCCTTGTCTCTGACGAGGACTCTGAGCCCGACCATAATTTGTCGAGTCCACCCATGGCTCTTGAGGCCATTGCCATTGTTGCGCATAGGCTGAATTGCTTGGCTGTCTTCGAGGTGATTGTGCACGTGCTTGTTGTTGTTGCTCGTAATCCGGCGTTCCATATGTCCACGATGCTTTGCAATCCCCACAATGCCAAGCATTTTTGCGGTTTTTCCTGCCGCAGGGACAATACCATGGGAAAGTCGCCATCTCGATGTCGATGGAGCGAAGAAACTGACGATCGCAAGAATGATGGGTTTTCAAAACCTGTTTCAAGTACCACAGCTCGTTGGCAGTGAGGACCTGATGACCTGTTTTGTGAAGAAACCACCTTCTCCTCGCCAGTGCCCGTCGCCTCCTCCAGCGTCTTCTGGATGTCGGTGTAATAGTCCCCAATGAAGATCAACACCAGAAGGATCACGTAGGCAATCACACTCATAAAGTGCCGCCCGCACCACGTAGCTCCAGCAGCTGCTCCACAGCCGCAACCACGCAGCGCCACAGCAAGGCCGCCCGCAATGCGAAAGCAATGGCGAGCTACCCGCGGGCAACAGCGACGCCCGCTAAGGAACTGACACACCGGCCGAGGGGGCTAGTGAGCCAAACCTTAATTTGGAAGTATTTGAGTCAAAGGTATGTACCCTCTGGTAAACTAACATAGCTATTGGCAATTGCCATTTATAGTGGGTTTTCCCATTAAAAATTGTGATTTTCCATAGCTATGTTAAATTACCAGAGGGTAAACAAGATGGACCATACATGACAATACAGCATGTACGGTATGGTGGAATGTCAAGATGACGGCTGAGGCCCACAAAAGGAGGCCGGGGCTCCTTGCCGATGTCTGGGGGCCTCAGCCTGACGAATTTTCACCTTGGATTTTGGAAGCCAGCCAGATGGGTTCAACTCATGTTGGCTTTTCCTTTCCGGGGTTAATTTCCTTGGTGCAGAATGGTGCACATCAAAATCCCCACATCCCCGGGTTGAATGGAAGTGGTCACCATGGTCACCATGGTCACCACGTCTTGAGGTCTGCTCGGGAACTCCTGGAGGAAAATAAACAGCTGATTGAGGAGAAGAAGGAGCAAAAGGCGCCCATGCGCCTCACAGTCTCGCCATGCTGCCATGCCACCTGTTTTTCCTTCCCATGTTTGGGATGATAAATCGAAGTTGACTGAGAGTTTTGGTTGATGATTTCATTGTTTGTTTTGTCGTTCCTCTTGGTGAAAGTGTTCTTGTTTGGCAAGATGCTCACAGTTGACTGAGATGTTTGTGTATCGGTTGAAGCTGCGAGCTGCTGTTGGTTCATCATGTATTTCTCCCCCTTTTGAGACAGCACGTATAGCGCAGGGGGGAAATATCCATTCACTCGGCTGTGGTGGCACACATTCTTTGCAAGAAATGGATCGGAATGGAGTTGAGTCATGTTCTATTTTCTATTTGATCCTTTGTTTACTTTGGTGTGTGGGTTCCCCATGTTCTTTGAGAATCAATGCGCGGCATACATAAACCCATTGAAGCCTCAATTTTGCGTTTGCCTTCTAGGGAGTTCCAGCTGGAATTGCACTGTCGAATTGCTCTTCCGCATGTGCACATTGTCTAAATTACGTGCATCTTGGATCATCTTGGCGTATGTGATTACTTGTTTTACATATACATAACATTACATAACATACATATACAATTGGATGTACAAATTTTAGAGGACATATATGAATGACTGCCTCTGAGAGGCTCACTCGACGAGATGGCAATGGAGAGAGAGAGAGAGAGATATATATATATATACATATGCATTTACATAATTGTATATAATATATATGAAACGATTGATCATTTGTGTGAGTGTATGTAGTGGGCTGGCGGCTGATAAATGACCGCCAGCTTTTTGGCTATTTATCCTCTCTTGTCTTGTGAGGTGGGGTGGGGTGGGATAATAACGTCATGTCTAAGTGCGTTTCACACGTACTTGCCCCATGGTCGTCACTGCCTGTTGGGTGGGGTGAGGAGGGGTTTGGTGGGGTGGGGTGGGATATTAACGTCATGTCTAAGTGCGTTTCACACGTACTTGCCCCATGGTCGTCACTGCCTGTTGGGTGGGGTGGGGTGGGGTGGGGAAATATTAACGTCATGTCCTAATTGCGTTTCACCACGTACTTGCCCCATGGGTCGTGTCACTTCCTGTTGGTGGGTGGGGTTGGGGCAGGGGGATGATTAACGTCATGTTAAGTGCCGTTTCACACTACTTGCCCCATGGTCGTCACTGCCTGTTGGGTGGGGTAAAAGGAGGGGTGGGGTGGTGGGGTGAGGTGGGGTGGGGTGGGATAATAACGTCATGTCTAAATGTGTTTCACACGTACTTGCCCCATGGTCGTCACTGCCTGTTGGGTGGGGTGAGGAGGGGTTTGGTGGGGTGGGGTGGGATATTAACGTCATGTCTAAGTGCGTTTCACACGTACTTGCCCCATGGTCGTCACTGCCTGTTGGGTGGGGTAAGGAGGGGTGGGGTGGGGTGGGGTGGGATATTAACATAATATTCGAGTGCTGGAAATTAACTTCCAAGAGGCTCTTGATGCTACGTCCTTCACGTCGTCAAGTATCTTCCAAGACGCTCTTGATGCTACGCTCTTCACGTCTTCAAGTATCTTCAAGACGCTCTGAAAGCTACGCTCTTGACGTCTTCAAGTAACTTCTCAGAGGCATTCCTCGTCACTTGTCCCAGGTCGCTGGCACACAATGCATTGATCGCCATTGGCGCAGTCTCAAAGAATTTATTGGCCCTGCTTTCCCTCGCAAAATGAAGGGACAATTTGGTTCAAAGCTTCACACAGAGGTCAATGTGCTTGTGAAGCAATGGTTGTACAGAATGTGGTCTAGTCTTCTTCTCCCAAAGATGTGTATACGAAGTTGACTCAAATCCTGAAATGAAAGAAAGACATCTACTTGGAAATGTGAAATGTGAAACATGAAATGAAAAAAGCAAGTAGTTCGAAGCTGGATTTGGAAGAGTCAAAAAGCGCAGCAATAGACAAAACAACTGGTAAAAACCAGGCGAAATCAACTAGCGGTGGTTGGAAAAGCAGGCGGTCGTCTATCAGCCGCCTACCATGTAGTGTGATGTAACATGTATGGTGTGCGTGTGTGTGTGTGTGTCACGTCGTTCGTGTAGTGTCATTGTGCTCGTTTCTCATGTATTTTGTGATTCAATCTCTTGGTTGGCACATGTTGGCACAGCACTGGCACACATCAGCACTTTCATCATCATCCAGGCCTTCAATCTCTTGGTTGGCACATGTTGGCACAGCACTGGCACACATCAGCACTTTCATCATCATCCAGGCCTTGGCGAGAAAGAACAGCAGAGAGATGGTGCAGAAACTGATTGAGGAGGCCGGGCCCAGCAGTTCTTGGCGACGCAAGGAATGGCAAAAGTGGACCAGTTAAATGGAAGCCAAGACAGGTGGGGATACAGTGCAGGCAGATGCAGGCAGGTAGATGAGATGATAGATCGGCTGGAATTTGATTATGTATGATTATGTGTGAGCAAAAATGTCAATCGGGTAGATTGGATTGTTTGATTTGATCTACACATGAGACCTACACCTTTGTGGTCTCCGCAAATGGAGCTGCGAAATATTTGGACTCATGGAGAGCCTTCGCAACCTTCACAGGACCGGATGAAGAGCGAAGGCATCAAGGCGTTGGACGTGGCCAACCACATTGCAAATATTGAAATGCTTGATTTTCTGGAAATTGCATATATTGACGAATGGGCACCCAAACACAGAAATTGGGTTGGAAAAATTCTCCCGCAAGCTTATGAAGATGCCCGCTTCGATACTACTACTGGTCATCTTGTTGCAGGCCAAGCTCTCTAAGGATTAGTAGACAAGCAATCAACATTTGGGCAGTTCCCAACTGTTCCACAAGTTTTTGGCCTCTTGCGAAGGCCACGGTTCAAAGTAAACGCTCCATGTTGAAGGACCTGGCGTTGGGCGACCTCAGTCGCTGGCAGCTGCGGTGCTATATGGGTTGTAAGGGCAGCCGGTGACATCCTTTGCCTTACTCAGGTTCCTTAACCATCCCTAACCTGTTTTGTTGACTGAGGCAACAGTACAAAGCAAGCATCACACAGAAGGAGGAGGAGAGAGCTGCCCTGAAAACTTCCAAGAAAGGCAGGATCGGTCTTTGCATTCATCTGCTGTGCTCAGAGCAGTCATGTGGGTAACCAGGCTGATTGGATCCCAAGTGTTTCCACCATTTGACAATCAGCTATACGGCCATGTAACTGGCGCCGTTCAGAAGGCCGTTGCCAAGTCTTGGGAAGAGGATCCTTCCTTTATCTTCCTTTTATATGTGATCATTGTGATCCATTCGGCCACGAGGAATGTATCCAAATCCCAGAACTAAGAAGCTACCGATAGATCGCCACAGGATGGACTCAGGATGCATCGAGACCCCCCGGCCAGGGCAGCCGCCCTCCTATTTCCCTTTTGTGGAAGGCGAGCGCATTGCCAAGGCCTGGGCTTGGCGAATCTGATGATATGGTGGCGTGTTTGACTGCGTTGCACACATGCGGGACCATCTCGTTTGCAAGTTGAAATGCCACCTCATGATAGAGAGAGAGAGAGAAACAGAGTGAGAGACCCCCATGACTTGCAGGGACGTGCTGCGAAGAGCGCAGTGTTGCGTGAGGAGATGGGTGTCGGAAGATGGCAGAAGCTGATGGGGCTGCACTGGAGCAACATGTATGTAGAAACCATACCTCGACACATGCACATATTTGCTTAATTTGCTACACCACTGCAACAATACAATCAGTCTCAAGCTGGGCTTGCTACCAATCATAGATATGATAATTTGGAAACCTAATTTGGGTTGAATAAATACTGCACAACCCTGTTGAAAACAAGCTGCACACAGAGGAAAGTTAAGAAACAGGTGGGACTGCGCGACAAGATATTTGAATATAGTACGTGTGTCACAATATATCTTGATTGTGTTGGGGGGTCGCAGTGCCCACAGTGGCATGGAAAGAGGGCTGGAACTTTGACAGTGGCTGACAACATGCAAAGATGTTTCAATTGTGAACTGGGAGGAACCAATGTTTCTGGTTGCCACTGAAGATATACTTTAAAATCAGTGGACTGATATTTGAAAATATCTTCAGAAAGATCAAGACCCAAATGTCAAAACGGCATGGTTGTTACACGGGTTTTCCAATTGATAAGCGCATGGAGATCTTGGTTTTGCAGAACCTTCCAGGAGACGATTCGAATCGTAGAATCATATTGGCTGTCAAAATCCCCCCAAACTTACTGTAAGTCACTTCTTTGCATATGGCTGAACAAATGCTTTATATATGTATAATATATATATATATATCAACACACAGAAAAACAGGTTGCCATTGGGCGGATGGTTGCTGATTTGGATGGGTTTGTATCGAGAAAACTGCCTCGCCCGTGGCCACGCTGCGTGAGGAAATGCAAGGCTTTCTGCAGAAACAGCGGGAAATGAAGCCCCCGCGCAATGCAGTTTGGCTGCACCGTGTCAAATGTTTTGGCGATCTTACAGGAGCATCGCAAATATGATCGGTGATGAAGTTGGTGAAAGATATGCCAGAACTGTCTATATATATAATTATATATATATGTATACATCACGAAAGATATAGATATAGACATAGATAAATAGATATAGACACAGACATAGATAGATAGATTGGTAGATAGCTGGATAGATGTAGACATAGATAAATATAGATATAGATTTACCATTTACATATTATATATATATACTCGTGGATGCTGATGCTAGTGTATCAAGAAACCATCTCATGGCCCCGATGCTTTGGCCACCAAGGATCCACTGATCCAGGACCTGCCATGGCTGGGACGCCAGAGATCACCAGAGCAAAATCAGCCCACTTTGGTTGACGACATTCACATGTGTCATCATTTGTCTATGCCAGAGTCTATGCCTTTCGATCATGACCTCGTGAACTGTTTTGAGCTAGTCAATTTGGTGTCAATTCGTTTCAGTTTCTGAGCTTCAGTGTAGCAAACAAGGTCCACAAGGAAACATGGTTAAACATGACTTGCTACGATTTTTGAACACTTGGATAGTGATATCGTTTAATTAGTGATTCAAGAGACCTCACCAAAAATGATGTAGACATGATAATTTGAGGATGGTTCATGATTCAACTGGAAGCACTGCATGGGGACCGCTGGTTCTTTCATGAATTATCCAGTTGAGGATCTTCCGTGGTGATTTGGCTTCTCATGATGCCAGGACACGCGTGTGGATAATGTGCTTTTGTACCCCGTGCTGCCAAAGGCACGGTCATTCGATACGGTGCACTCGCCCAAGTTGACGAGGAATTTGCTTCAGAATGCTCCTGGGGTTTTACCACAATGGGTTGCCCAAGTATGACAATTAGAGTATGATGCAAAACATCACTTGCCAAAAAGAAAACAGGATTCCAAGTTCTTCAACTCAATTCATGTTGTACCAGTTTTTGCATGTTTCAACACTGGAAATCATCGAACAGAAATCATAAAAACTTCATAAAACATCTGAATTCTGGCTGCCAAATCCGCTTTTTGGCGGGTTCCACCTGTGTTTTTTTCCAGGCCACGGTGCAATCCTTTGAAGCCTCCCCGCCCGAGTCCGGAGAGGTGCAGCATGGAGACGCGGTGCCGGACGAGGTGCGCGGGAGTCTGGACCATGCCATGGTTTTGTTTAACAAAGAAATGGCACCATAAACATCATAATATGTATGATATTCATGATGTTTATGAATGTTTATGATGATATTTAAATGATATTTAAATGGTGTTTATGATATTTATGGTGCTATTTGTGTGTTAGATTTTGTTGAACTTTCATGATTGATGGTTGACAATGGTTGATTTATATGATGTTTTTTTAAGGTTAACTAATTATAAATGATATTTGAATATGCTCTTCGTGGATAGCTTGCTCACCGAGAAGAATTGGAAGTGAATTTGCTGGTCGGCGGTTTCAATCTTCAATCATGTCTTAATGTTCAACTATATATATATATTTAGCAGGACGGCCCCAACTATATGAGTTATGGAGATGGGTTGAAACTGTTAATCAGAAAGGCTTGGAACATGGGAATTGTAGAGTCAAGCCAGAAAATGATGATAAATGGATGGGATTGGATGGGTATATAACCTCCTTTTTTAGTACCAATAGGTACACCCTAGTAAATGGCATGTTTGCCTCATTTTGTCTCAAAAAGACATCATTGATTGATAGCCCCTGGTTGAAAACGTGTTTCAAGACCCAAGCACGGCTGGTTTGGGATTATGGTACTAGACCATACTGGACAGTGGGCTGTCTCCGGCTACCGAGACGGCCATGACATTTTCCAAATCCTTCTCCCTGCAGGATGCACTACATTGGCTATAGGGAACCACGCATGTATACATACATGTATATATAAATAAAGATTAATTATTATATAGTCTATATATATTATTGTTTAACTGTTGGGTGCCTTCGGTATGCTTCAAAAGCCCCAGTAGATCGTGCCAGCGTTTCTGAAAAACACACAGCAATTCGCCACCAGGAGCTGAAGCTGGTGGACGAAACGTGTCCTCATATGCAGAGGCCAGGTGTTTCAGACTAGGGATGTAAACAACGTTTGAATGAGAGAATATATCCTTGAGATTGAGGATGGTGCTTAGATATTCTCTCATTCTTTGAGACTTTGTTGAAAATTGGTGAATGAGGGAATAGAGATGAATTCGCCATAACACAGCGATTTGAAATCAATAAACGACCAACGGAGTCGACCGGAACCATACTCCTGTGTTTGAGGACGCATGTGCTAACCCGATGCTAACACGAAAGAACATCCTGGGAAGAGAAACGCTGGCACTATCTCTACAGATGTCTACTGTATATGTACTTAGTGGGGGTGAATCATGAGGGGGCGAGAAGTATGGGCCATTGGGAGTCGTTGGGAAACCGTTGGGAAACATATTTACCCCTCAGATGTTTATGACAGGATAGACCATCGACCTGTTGGTTCGTTTGCGTTTGAGGATATTTGAGGTATGGTACATGGGTTGAACGGTTGAACCAGTTGAAAGTCAGGACCTGTCAGCAGCCACTTGGACAGCGAAAATCACCTGAAGTCCATAGATGCCACTTATACCTAGCAATTTCCGTACAAATGATATACAAATATGTATAAATATGTCCTGTTCTTCGGCATGTCCTGTTCTACATCCTATCCCTCAGTTAGATTCGCCGCGAGAGGCACCCAGTGTTCTTGACAAAGGCTCGGGATCACAAGCAGCGGACCTCAGGACATGGCGTCAAGGTGGTTAGCCGATTAGCCTGGGCACACATCATCATGTTGAAGTGGAGTAAGTGGAGTCGTGAAGCCAGTTGCGCAAACCCAGGAGCTCTTACAATAGGATCAAACATCCCACTGAAGAAGTTTATCAGACCCGTACAAGCTGAACTCAGATGCATGAATTTTATCATCCTAGAATATCAAAAGATACCCCGCTTTGATGCATTACATAATCTTACGTTTAGATCTTTTCACCCTCAGGATTTGAAACGTCCCAGGCCTCAGCCCGACCAAGGTCCAGGCGGCTCTACGACGATCATGTGAGAAGAACGTTAGAAGAGAAGGCAAAGCGTTAGAATGTTCCGCGGCCAACGTTGATGAAAAGAATGTCCTGATGGGAGATTCCCATTGCCAAACTAAGATAAAAACAGGTCCCTGTCCGGTGATGAAGGGAAGGTGCGGTTCCCTGCAACAGGTTGAGCAGACCAAGATGGAGCTGGCCCAACAAGCAAAGAAGCGGAAGGCAGCCACTGGGCGGTGGCATGACCGCTTGTGGAGCATAGAGCTTTCCCTAGCGGTCGAGCAAATCTTCCACGCTCTATTTCCACTGTCAGACTACTTTTTTGTACTTTGTGACGGGGGGTGATGACAAAACATAGTCCAGGATTTTCTTGGAAGCACATTGGAATCAAACATGCTCAGTGGACATTTTTGGGTTCATTTCATTTGGCAGCGGGCCAAAAAGGACGTGGGTCCTGGCTTTAATAACCACTAAGATGCACCAATATCGCCAGCTTCCTGTTTTTGCAATTCCCAATTCTGATGTGCATATTCCAACCCTTACGACATCGTTGCCGTGGTCGTTGTCGTTGTGTTCTTGTTGTTGTTGTTGTTGTTGTTGTTGTTGTCGTTGTGTCGTTGTGTCGTTGTTCTTGTTCTTCTTGTTGTTGTTGTTCTTGTTCTTCTTCTTCTTCTTCTTGTTGTTGTTTTTGTGGACAATTCGGGTGATTAAATTGATGTTATCAGTTGATGATATTGTTGATATTGATGATTATGTGTGTATGCTTATGCCATATTGGAGCCACGTGTTTCCTTTGGTTTTCGTTGATCATATACCCATTAAAGGCCCAATGGCCCAGTGGTTGTGGCAGGACGAGCTTGCAACCTTGGAGGATTCCATGTTGGTGGCCGACGCTTTGCGTCATGTGCCTTGGCTGCCTAACATTGGGAAAATCACCATGTCGAACAGGTAAATCAACTAAAAATGACTATTTTCAGTCGTTATGTTAAATTTCCAGAGGGTATGCCTCAGGTTTCCGTCAGAAAATCTTGAACATGAGGAACGTATGGAATTTCGAGAGGACGATGGTCGCTGCGGGTCGCTGGAACCCGAGATTTGCCAAGTCGTTTTAACGAGCGATGCTCTAAGGATGGCACCACAGCCAAAGCAGATGCCCGGCGGAGACACGCTCCTGGACAAGAATAGTTGTCGCATCACTGACCTTACCAGAACAATCCACCTGTGGATAGAGTCTAGAGGATAATTATTCATCCACATGAATTCATTTCGTTTTACATGGTTTTACGGTATATTATGATATATTATGAGGTCTTCAGATCAAAGCGCAACATGCACAATCCTTCCATACATGGAGTACTTGGGAATGTAAGTGTGCACAAATTAAAATATATCTATATATATAAAATAGATCGCCATTTATGTTCATTTTTTTTAGTGATATATGTCATTATCATGGAGATTTCTAGGCACGGCTTCGCCATCGGCACGTGAGGCCATGTTCCTCAAGGAGCAGATCGAAGAGCAGCAGATGCGGAAACAGATGGAGAAGGCGGACAAGAAGAATCTTGGCAGATCATCCAGGGGATTCAATGTGTTACAATGGGAGGCCCTATAGTACGAATATGTACGAAGTAAATCGAATTAATATGATACATATGTGCAAAGATGGACTGACAAATTATACAATGTGTATATAGTCTACATAAATATACATATATATATATATATAAATCATAACTATTATCATATTATGATGTTTATATAACTGGAAAACCATAAAGACAAAATGTTCTGTCCGCACGGGTTTCGACATTTCTTTTTGTGGCTACTTTTTCCAAATACCATGTCGGTGTCCGGCTGCAATCCCTCTACTTAAAGGTCAATAGTTTTTCTGAAAACTTGGATTTGTCGGACTGGTTCCGACAGTATGGTTTCTGATTTTTTTTGCCTTGGGTCTTGAAAACACACAAAACACAATTAAGAGAACTTCAAAAGTGGAAACCATAAGAGGATTTTCGATGTTGCAGACAGTGCCACAAGAGTCGAACAACGCTATTGGTTCAGAGGATCCAGCAACATCCCGTATAATCCACTTTGATAATGGTTGAACAAATGCTGGCAAACAAATTGCATAGGGGTCAAACTTCAACACACTCCCTGACGACTCAGGAGGGAAACAGCTGGCTATTGGGGACCGGAGGCCGGCAGGGTTGCCCGCCCTGAGTTTATTCCGTTTTTGAGCAAGGAGGTCTGAAAAAAGTGGATGAAGATTGATGAAGATGGATGTAGCATGATAAGATCATAAATGCATTACTTGGCCAATGAAGACAGCCGCAATGATTCTTGAGCACTGCCAGGGTCAGAGGCAAGCAATTGGCAAGCAATGACCTTTATGTCTACATGATTTATACGCATATTTATTAGGATATGTGATGATTCATGTGCCACTTTTGTGGTACATGTGTCGATGAGGACACTTGATTTGTTTCGTTTCTAGCTACATAGTGAACACATCGCAGTAGCTGCCAGGATAAGCCAACGCAATCGAATGCTACGCATCGATCCCATTGCCACGACCTCATCAAGCAGATGGAGGCGCGGCCTGGGCTGTGGGACATGACCTACAAAAGGCTGAATATATCACCATCAGAAGTCGCCACCTATGAACGATAGTGCAATATTCTTTTGTATTTTACTATGTAGATATTATATTATAATGATATCGATTATTCATATCTATATATATACATATATATATATATTGCCACCAATTTCTGATGCCGGTAGACCACAAACCTCATACTGTGTTTCGATTAGATGGAAAAGGTTGCATGGCACACTTGTCATATGCCCCTCGCCCACTAACCACCGGAACTGCTCAGCTTCCCAGTTTTCACGAGGTGGACCAGAACCGAAAGGTGGTGGACAGGAGCATGAGGCTAAGGCAAGAGAAGCAGATCGTCAACAACTGTGCCTTCCCAAGAGCTGGGGGGCAGTTCATACGCTGCATTCATCTGCATTCTGATTGTTGGCCCCCTATGGGATAGCCCTTTCCCAAAAAGCATCAGGCTTGGAACAGGTTGAGGACCTGGGGCCGCTACTGTGATTCGATTGAAAAAGTACCTAATCCAATGACAGGTTGGGACCATTGGGTAACGGCGGATTGGTTACCCCACCTACAAATAAGACCAGCGTTCACCTTCGCCGTTGCTTTCAGCGTTGCGCCGTGCAACCCCCCAGAACAGCGCTGCGGCGCTGGGAGACATGGCGAGCAATGGCACAGATGCAGTCGTGGCGCCTCCTCCCGGAATAGGAGACTGGCACCAGTGTGGGGTGGGGGCTGGGGAGCCCATTGGAGCCCTGAAAATAGAACAAGATAGAACAAGTGCTTGGGGAAGCTGGGGAATTTCTGCTGAGTTAATGGTAAGGGTTTTGGCCGGCTTGAAATGATGTGGAAATGATTTGGAAAAATCAAAAATTGTCAGAGCATGTCAGAGTCCAGGCAATGTCATTTTGGCAGTTTTGCGTGTTTATGCCCATACCCCTGAGCGCTGGTCTTACTAGAACTGTGTATGTATATAATTATATATATATATTATTAATGGCAGAGAGAGAGAGAGAGAGAATATATATATATACATAATTATATGATATAACTTAATTTTATCTATATGTATATATATATATAATGAAAATTATTGAAATACGGCTTTACATCTTGAATCATACGGTGTGTTGTACGCCACCTCAGAGGTTCCCTCAATCCTGCTGTGCTGCAGCCCTTGGAAGGACCTGCAGGAGACGACTTTCATCATGACATCGCACGCGACATCGGGCAGCAGGTGGAAGCTATGATCCTTGAGGCCCAGCCGGAGATAGTTCCTTTTGCAGGATGTTTAGGAAGGATCAGGCATCCTGAGCAGCGGGTGGTTTCAAATATGTTTTGTTATGTTGTTTTTCTTACCGGGTTCTGTCCATGTCCAGCCCCAAAGCTCAAGAGTGACATGATACCTTGGGGAGTGAGACCATCAGCATTTGTGTTTACATGACTGCAAGAAGGCTACCGACAGTCTTGAATCACACATGATCCAGGCAAAGCACGCGTCCGAGACGAAAGTGGGGAAGGAGATCCCGCAAAGTCATGGAAGTTGGGCACCAACGACTTATCCAGAAATCAACTGAGAAGGCTCCGAGGCATTGGATTCAGTTGGTGCAGCTGGGGATTCGATGTATAATTATGAATTGAATCATAATCAAGCAATTTATTATAGCCGATAACCGTGATGACTCAGAATGTATCCTTTCCTTAGCACCAGGCCTTCTCACCGCGCCAGGAGATCCAGAAGATTAAGCAGAAGATGGAGCACATGGCTGTCCCGTGGCTGTAGCTGCCGCAAGGGTCAAGGTAGAAGACAGCGGAATCATGAGTTGTGGGGACGAAGTGGCTAAAATTTTGTCGAGCATATGTTCTCGGTTTCAAATCTCAGCAATCTTGCTGATTTTCATGTGGACATCAGATTTTCCATCCGAATCCTGACACCAGAATCGGATCTCCATGTTCAATCCTTTTATACATCTTCACAATTCTTTGCATACCATTTAACCATTTCTGAGATGGCCTAACCCATGCCATCCCCACATCAGGAAAAGATCAAGATGATCAACAACAAGGTGGCGCTTGTTGAGCCCGACCGAAACGCCTTGCTGAAGACGGACCTCCAGAGCTCCATTGCGAAGCTTGAGGAAGTATGGGAAGGCCATCGGGATGCCGGTGATATCGAAAAAACATGGGGATATTAATAATATTTAAAAAGAGAAATGGGGATGATGTGGATATGTCATTATATATATATATATATACATATTCCATTGATATTTCATCAATGGAGATTCATCAGGTTACTCATCCATCAATGTGTCCATGCTGATGTTGTTTCCAGATGCTGTTTCCAGCTTGTGGCATGTCCTGGCATGCTGTGTCCAGGCGAGGTGAGCACCCTGAAGCATGAGCTGTGGCAGACCATTCAGGCTCATAATCATAATGCGGAGCCTTGGCTTTGAGCTGGTATATGGTGGTATTTCGATGTATTGAAGAATGAAGAGTGGTTTGGGCACACCAAACGGTTCGCAATCAGATGGTTTCAAGGCTCAAATGACCAGTCCTCAAAAGAGTGCTCGAGCCGATGTGATTGCTTGCACTGTCAGATAGAGAACCATGTGTGAATGCTTGGTCGTTTGGGTTGGTTTTTATGTGTCAAATATGTTCAGCTTCATTGGGAAGTGTATATATATAATATACATATTTGTGTGTGTATGTCAGTATGTTTATCCAAGAGTTTTTAATGTGGCAGTGGGCCACAGGGTCCTTCAGATTAAGTGCTGCTAGGATGATCCAACTAAACATAAGCAATTGTTCATTGAATTCTGCACCACCTTGAACTAGCGTATTTTGTGGCTACCCGCATTTAAATAGCTACGATGTTTGCCCGGCCAGTTTTCTGTACCACATGGCTGATGCCAAACGGGCACGGCGAGAACAAAGGACCTTTTAAAGCACCACAAGGACGCCATAGATCAAGTGCAGAACAGGACTGACGGGGACAGGCATGATGGCCATGGTGAGTTGCAGCACTGGGTTGTTGACCGATCTTAGAGAATGTACGTCCCTGATTTTGGGTGGACTCACTCCATTGGATATTAGATTGAATCAGATAGAAGCGGTCTAAATCTGTGGGCTGCCGGCCTACAGTTTGCTGCAGCAATCTGCATCACAATTTCGAGCCATACCCGGTTTGTAAATGTTGGAATTTCATGGCCACAGCATGCCACAGCGAATCTCGCAGGATGACCGATGTTGCCACTTGCCTGCATGCTGGGTAGGGAGTCGAAGTTCTGCTTGTTTCCAAACATCAGGATCTATATAGCAGCAGGGGTGCAAGTTTCACAAGTCTTCGTGGTCCCGTGTTGCGGAACCGCATTGTCAGGGTTTTGCCCTCAATCTCCTCAGCGAACGGACGCTTGAAACATGTCACACAACACAGCAGCATGATTAATTACAAATCACAACATGGCATGTGTCTGTGTCACTATGCTTCACTCGGCATTTCAATCACCACATAAGCTCCACATACACAAGTCACATAAGTATCCATAAGTCAAAAATGGACAAAAAATACTCACAAGTATGCACTATCGCTAAACTATATATCAAACTATGTATATCACTATCTGTCACTATCTGTCATTGTAATTGTCACTGTGGCTATACTGTGGCTACACGCATTGTCTCTTCGTTCCCGTTGGCCAGTTGGCCAAGGCTCCGAACCCGGAACTGGACCAAGTTCACCTCCAGTTGCTCCAGGCGGGGTCAATACCGATCTGGACAGCGGAGCCAGTTAAGGTAGTTAAAATATGTTTAAATATGTTTAAATATGTTTA